AAAATTTTGGCGCCGGACCTTGCTTGGGTGCCGAGTTGAAATACCCGGACAGACACACACACACACACATATACACGCACACACATACACACACACACCGGGGTCGTCGCAATATGCGTTTTCGCATCTGCATATTATGCAAAAACGCATAAAAAACACGAGGCGTGTTTTGTGCATAATAGTTCTTTCGCCGTCGCATGATCATCGCTTGTACTGCAGTAGTTGCAATCTAGCTTTTTTGTCAGCTCCCATGGAATGTTAATAAAAACATATGGCCACCAGTACCGTCTAAGATCAACTGCATCACCTATAAGGGAAGAAGCAGATAAAACTCAAAATAACGAATGGCGAATATGTCAGCTGTTTTAGTTGAGAACAAGGACGTAATCCAAGCTGAAACGCACCGAGCGGGCCCGTGCGGTCATGCGTTTTTGCACCGGACTTGAAGTACTCAGGTCATTAACTGCATGAATGGTTGCTGCTTTACACCTACTTTTTCCGGTCATAAGTTTTACATAAAATAGATGTACAATTACCACTTAACAGCCGTTCTTTAAAGTAACTTAGCTGTTAAGTGAGAAATTTTGCGCCAAAACTTTTAAGTATCCGTACATAAGAACCACGCATACCTCAAGGCTGAATTTGAAAACTTGAGTTGTACTTGGGCAGGGAACATCCCTGGAAAATTTCAGCTTTCCAGCTTTTCTGGTTACCGAGTTAGCAATTTTCCCGCCAAAACTTTCATTGCCTGCACGTGGGTATTCCACTTGCCTGGAAAGTTGAATTTGAAATCTTTAAATTGCACGTGGGCAGGGAAGGTTACAGTAAAACTTTGGCTTTCTAGCTTTCCTGACACTCGAGTTAGCATTTTCCCGCTAAAACTTTCACACGCCCTTACTTGAGTACCACGCATAACTGGGGTTGGATTTGAAATATTTAGCTAACACATGCACAGGGAATATTCCTACAAAGTTTCAACACCTTAGCTCGTGTGGTCCCCGAGATCGCTTCCCCGCCAAAAAATTTGCATATTTTTTTAAAGCGTCTGTACGCGGCACCCACGCTTCCGCGGAGAATGAAATTACCCAGGCTGGAACGCACCAGGCGGGCCGGTGCGATTATGCGTTTTTGCACTTTTCGTGCCGTAG